ACAGTCCGAATCCACTCTTTGCAGCATCTGCGTGTCGTTGCTGACAGACCAGGTTCTGAGCGGGTTGGCGGTTTGTGTGCACAGGCCTGAAAAGGAAAGTGTCATGACATGTTTGACGTTAAGTAAAGTGGCCAGCGAGCCTGTTGAAGCGGCCGATGGTCGACGATGTGGAGTAAAGGATGGAACAACTCGGGGTTGCAAGCGCCACAGGGCGCGAGCCCTTTCGCACCGGCGCCACAAGGTGGTGCGGCACCGGCGGGGCGCCCCGATGAGGCGGCGACTGGCCCGATGCTGGGGAAGGGATCCGAGCTGCGGAAGCTCTACTACATGCCTCACAACATGGGACACGGTGATGCGGTGAACTGCATGCTTATGGCAGACGGCAAGATTTATACCGGTGGCCGCGATGAGTATCTCTTCGTTTGGAAGCCGGATCGAGCAGCTAATGGCGAGATACAACTGTCTCAGGACTGTCCTCCCATCCACCTGGGTGCGAGCATCACCTCCCTTTTCTACGAACCCACCTCGAAGTGGCTGTTCTGTGGCCTGTGGAATGGCGAGGTCCGCGCCTTCTGCAAGGAGCCCATGAGGGATGACCGACTGCAAGGCCACCGGCGCTCAGTCACCGCACTTCAGGTGCATAGCGGCGTGCTCATCTCCGGATCCAATGAAGGCGGATCGTTCATTCAGTCTTCGTTCTTCTTGCGTTCTTTTGTCTTAAACATGGAAGATCGTCCCTTTGGGAAGGTGGGTTCCCTTCTTTAAGGTACAGGAAATCTAGAATTTCCTGACACCGAGGCACAGTGCGGCTTTGGACCTTCAATGGCCAGAGCTTTCAGCCGCATGGGCAGCCTTTGACGAACCCAAGTGGTCCGGTCACAGCCGTGCGTGTGTTGAACGATGCATTGTGGGTTGGTGGCTACGAAGGCATCACATGCTTCGATCTCGGTTCTCTACAGGCTCGAGGAACCATCCCTTCCTCAAATCATGTGACAGGTTTGCTGGACTTCCAGGCCTTCATGATTGCCACCTTCCGAAATGGCGAGGTCAACATTTACGATGCTTCTGGATCACAGATTTTTCACCGACCGCCGAGTGGAGAGCACGTGTCCAACACAGCGCTTGAGCTGATGGTGCATCCATCGACACAGAAGCCCTTGCTCCTCTGTGGTCAAGTTCAGGGATACGTCACCGCATTCGACCTGCCAGAGTTCCGTCCACGCGGAAGCTTCTGCGTGAAGGAGCGCAGCGACGTCAAGGCCATCGTGGACGTGAAGAGCGATGGCATGTTCGCGACAGCTGGTCTGCATGGTGATATCTGCATTTGGCAGTGGGGGGCTCCAGTTGGTGGTGCATCCGCGAATCCTTTTGGGGCCTCCACTGTTCAAGGTGCTGTTGCCTCGAGTCCTTTCGCCCCTGGCCCAGGGCAAGGTGCAGCTTGTGGTGGGATGGCGATGTGACATGGTATGATGCACGGAAAACAGCCTCAATTAGCAGCCTTTGCCAGAAATGCCCGACCGCGC